TACTCAACTGTTGGAACAAGCCATTCTAAGCTTTACAAGTAAAAATGTGAGAACAGTAAAATTAAAAATATATGTAATAGTAAAGGTACTCAACTGTTGGAACAAGCCATTCTAAGCTTTACAAGTAAAAATGTGAGAACAGTAAAATTAAAAATATATGTAATAGTAAAGGTACTCAACTGTTGGAACAAGCCATTCTAAGCTTTACAAGTAAAAATGTGAGAACAGTAAAATTAAAAATATATGTAATAGTAAAGGTACTCAACTGTTGGAACAAGGCATTCTAAGCTTTACAAGTAAAAGTGTGAGAACAGTAAAATTAAAAATATATGTAATAGTAAAGGTACTCAACTGTTGGAACAAGCCATTCTAAGCTTTACAAGTAAAAATGTGAGAACAGTAAATTTAATTAGCTACACTCATTAATAGGTTTAATTTATGCATATAGCTTACTTTGTTCAGAAGTTAATAATAATTGGTCACACATGATTAAAAAAAAGGACAACATCTGTTCTTTTTGGTTGACTACATAAGAGAAAGCTGAAAACTTGTAAGGTTTTAATACCAGCCACATGAGCCAGTCCAGCATCTTATAGTACTGAGCCTAGGAAAGTCAACATGGGGATCATTCCGGAAACTGGTGATTTAGGGTTATCTCAATGAATGAAGCTCAGAACAATTTCTAAAATGAAAAAAAAAACCCAACTAAATATTAATGGAAATAAGACATAATGAAATCTATATGGATTATACTATGGTGGTACCATACTGGACATTATATCATCTTTCTTATATTAACTCTTCATTGCAGAAATAGCATTTTGGATTTGAGAATTGCTAGGGAAATCATCTTGTATCTGCTTCAACACTGCATCTTTGGGCTTCACTGTACCGTTAGTTTCACAAAACTAATGATTCCAATCCACCTTTTAGAAGATAATGATACCATTGTGCCCATATTTTTATGTTTCACTGTCAAATCTCCAACTATAAGTTCTTCCCTCATCTGAACTGGTTTAATTACTACACTTAAACCATCATATTCACGACCACATCTAGAACATTTTCAAGCATGTTTCATCACCACATCGTTTTACTTTACATTTACAAGTCAACTTCTCCATGTCAGCTCTCATAGTCTCGGGTCAGGCCACGGGTCTGGTCCAGCTACCTAGACCTCGAAAATAGTGCCAAACATCTTCATCAAAACAACCCAAACCTTTCAACAATGAGTCACTTGTTTTTTATCCACATCAACATGTCAGGCTGGCTCGTGAGGTAGGTATTAAAATATTTAATGTTTATTGCCTGACCAGATAAGAGAAAATTGAAAGCTTACAGTGTTTAAAAAAATAAGTATCAAAAAATAATCAGAAATTTCAATTTGTGAAACAAAAACTTTGCTTGAAATAACTGATTTTCTGAAGTTACCTTGTAAGTTTATTTCTTGCTTTTTTGGCTTTTCTGGAAAAGTGCAGGAGTTTCCATCAAATGTTAAGTCACTGAAAGCAATACTGGAAAACATGAAATGCTATTAGATTTGTTATTATAATTATCATGTATGAAGAAATCACACTGATATGCAACATGTTTCACTTCTCTGTTAGAGCAAAGGTATAATTTTCCTGTACTGAAAATGTATTTATGATGGGTACTTACTTCTGCTCACAAGATTAACTATTCTTGTTCAGTGCTGCCCTCTATATGCGAACTTTTTCTATATGCATGCCACAAGCCTTCTGCTCCCCCCATTGGAATTGCAAGATTCCAACATGCCTCTCATGCAAATAATCACACGTTACTTCCTCACCAATAGGAGCATGAAATGCACAAGTGATGAGATTCCCTCGACATTCCTCTATCAAGCTATCACTTCGAAGATTGGCTGAAAATGTCAACACCAGAGAAATGTGGGGAGGAAGGGTGGGAGGAGGTAAGTACCTATCAGAAATACATTTTCAGTATAGGAATATTATAACTTCTAATACGGTGCTTACCTCCTCTCACAACATTAGCTAGAATCCCACATTGATAAGGAGGAGCGACTGGTGCAAAGGAACAATAGAAGTACTCTCCTTAAGCATCCAAAGGATACCCCTGGAAATGAGAGATTTAGATCCAAAGATCAGAAGAGGGGAACCCCACTACTTCTGAGCCAGGTATACCCTTTGACCAACTGTGGAATGTGTAAGATATAAGGGCAGAAAATGAGAGGAGCACATTTGAGTGGGAGAGAATGTGGTAGGAAAGTGATCATAACCATAGAAATATACTGTACCTCAATCCCACAATGAGAAAGGTGGGTAAAAAAGGATGCACCCCTAAATGTAGAGTGGCTAGGGCATGGCAAACTGTACTCGATAATTCAACTACACCCAAAACCTGCCTGCAGGGTAATGACACCCGTGCAAGGGTAGGATGAGGATCAAAAAGTCTTCACCTCAAACCCAAGAACTGGGGGATTGAGAACCACTTCGATTCCTGGATATGACATGAGGATTAGCTTTGAGCTATCAATCCGGGAACTTGACATCCAGGACCGAAAGGATGTCTATCTCATGCAATCAATTCCCCCAACCATGAAACAGGCTTGGATCATCCAAATGGCAATAACATCCCCTTAAGAAGAGAGGACGAGGGATACCCAAGGATAGAACCGGAACATTTCCACATGTGACCCACAACGTAGATGGAGTAATCAAAGGAGGAAGATAGACAAACCAAAACCTGTGTGAGGACTTATGTTGATCAGTTCAATCTAAATCCAAAACCTGCCCACGGGATACTGACATCCACACGAGGGTAGAATGAGGGCTCCAAATAAAAGAGGTGAACTGAGTTCTGACGTCTCACTCCATTGTCAATGGTTATTACAAATAGGAATATATCATGTCATCTACACCCACAGAACATCACCACCCTACTCTGCAACTGAATGGTTATTGTGTGTAACTCATTAAACAGGGTGCCACCATGGTCAACCACCCCAGCAGCTAGGAACTGGAAAGTGGTAAGGACTCCCATACTCCACTTTAAGAAAGGAGGGTGACAAAGCAGTGGAGAGACCAGAGGAACATCATAACCTGAGACAGTGCAATGGGTGACCACGAAATCTTATTTTGAAAAGCAGACCACAATGAGTTATTCACTCCAGACATGGCAGGAATGGGCAGCAATCCACTCCTGCTTTACCCATCCAGTCCATGAGTTATACAGTCAGGGACAGGCATGTTTATGAAGCAAAATATTATGAGAGCATGCACTTACAAATGATCTTGTGGAACACTCCACCTCAACAGTGAGCATACGAAGCCATGGAAGATAAAAATGTGGGTCAACATGGCTGAACAGTGCAGATTTTGAGTTAAAGAATACCTGGTCAGGCATCACTAACCACAGAGCAGGATCCATCGGATAAAGAAATAGAGAAAGGCCTCTGACAAGAAGCGAAAGTATGAATAAAAACTTACCAGTTAGAGTCGCACCAAAGTCTGAAAATGGCTACAGATGGCAGACGAAACCACGATGAACAGGAAACAACAATATGATGGAGATAGTGGAAGATAAACATACTGGGTGTGGTCCACATGCTGGACTACAGAAACTCCTCCATTGGACAACAATGATGAGAAGGGAGGTGTCAGATCTGATGGAAGGATACCTGGAACAAATTGTGGAAGGAAGAAGGTAGGGAGGAATAGGCCAACTGAACCAAAATACAGACCCCAATTGGTAAGAGTAGAAGGTGAAAGAATACGAAGGGAGGAGGATTGCCAGGGGATAAAGAGTCGGGAACGTGTACCCTGGAAGGAAGCAGTACATGCAATATAAAAACAAAGAACCCTGACCACAGAAGACTATCTGGATTTGGTCGAGGGTATAGATGGGATACGGAAGGAAGGGAATAGAAGAAAAGGAGGAACCACCCTTCTGAGCTGCTGAGGTCTTCGAGAGAAAGGAATGATCTGGATAAAAGAGAAGATAGGGTAAGTGAAATGTCAATGGCAAACAAGTCAGACCATCAACGTCTACGGGCTAAGAGAAGAAGGAAATATGTTTTAAAGGAAACATGAAACACGTGGAAAGTGGTTCAAATGGAGGTCTACATTAACATCCCAATACAGAAGGGTAGATCGTCTGGGAGGGCAATGTATCAGTAGGAACAGATGAGCCAGGTAAGGACAGAAGTAAAACTCTATGGTATCAGGAAAAAATAATTTTTTTTATGAAAGAGTTAACACAAAGGATCACATATAAAGTGTAGTAGACTTAAAATAAGACCCAAAACTCAAGCACTTTCGAAATGTTGACTATTCTTCTTCAGGAGAACGAAGGAAAAACGAAAGATATGGAATAAGGCCACCCGATATACCAAAAGCGAGGAGACTGAAAACCAACGCTCAAAGAGCCAGGTGAGAAATTTTGCCACAGTAGGCTGGTCAGCAGGAAACCCCATAGTAGAAGACCAACAATGGAATATCTACCACTTGTACTGGTACACTTAGATGGAAGATGGAACCAGTTAACAAGGAGGTGTCTTGACGTGTGAAACCGGATCTTCTCACCAAGGACTGGACAAAAGCCAGGCATGAAGGGTGGGATGTAGGACATATGAGCACAGTTGGCAAAGAAGGTAGAGAGATAGTGAAAGAGGGACATGAGGGGACAGGAGCATTTGCTGTAACTGTGGAAACCAAGGCAGAACTGGCCAATAAGAAGCTAACAGGAGGACCCGACAAGAAGTAGAGTGAATGAGAGAAATCACCTGATGAAGTAATTGGATGGGTGGGTACATAAAGATACTTGTGTGACCAATCCTGGCTGAAAGCACCGATTGCCAGAGCCTGGGGATGAAGTACAGGTGACCAAAACAGAGGTAATTTCTTGTTGAGGCCCATAGCAAAGGCATCCAGGTGGGGAGAACCCAACCAATGGCAAAGATCCCTGAAAACGAGGGGATCTAATGACCACTCTGTGGGATATATCTGTTTGGAGTGTGAAAGATGATCCATGATCAGATTGAAAGCACCTGGTACATGACATGCAATAAGATTAATGTGATGTGCATGGGCACAGTAAAAGAGATCCAACATCCGAAAACAGAGATCTCTGGACCGGATGCCTCTTTGTAGCTGATATGTGCCACCACCGTAGAATTGTCTGAATGAACCATGACCAGACAATGTTGGGTGAGAAGAAGGAAGTGAAGAAATGCCCTACATATGGCTAGAAGTTCAAGAATACTGATATGCAAAGTGCTTTCGTCCACAGATCAATGGCCTAAAGCCTCGTGGTGATTGACCCAAGCCCTCCATCCCTGAAGGGATGCATCCATGAAAAGATGTAGATCTGGACATGGTGGAAGAAGCAGCACACTCATCAATGTATGAGCTTTGTCCAACCACCAAAGCAGATTGTATTGCAGGGAAAAAGGAAAGGTAATGGAGTGGAAAGAGGATCCTGAGCAATGTTCCATCAGTAAGTGTTTGAGCTGAGAGGGCATGGCGAACCAACAATTCCATTGAATGAAATTCTAAAGGACAAGGCTAGGCCTGACTGATATGAGTGTTGAAAAAGACCCCCCCCCAAATGGATAAGATATTGAGTGGGCCTAAGGAAGGGTTTCTTCAGTTTGATCAACCAGCCCACCCAAGTTGCAACAGAAAGAAGCTGCTGAGTATGATTGGCTGATTCCTGTTTGGAATGAGCCAGAAAAAGCAAGTCGTCCATGTAATAATGAAATGGCAGCCCCAGAGCATGGAGATGTCATGCAAAACCTAGGACCACTCGGCAAAATAAGTAAGGTGCCATAGCAAGCCCAAAGGGAAGGGCCCGAAATTGATAACTCACCCAGATATGGACAAACCAAAAATAAGGATGAGACTGAGGTGATATCAGTTTATGTAGCTAAGCGTTGGAGACATCCATTTTGGTCATCCACGACCCTGGAGAAAATGCCCATCTCAGGGTGAAAAATGACTCCATGATGAACCAGGGTAGTGAAATTGATTTCTGTTAACCAATTCCTTGTTTTCTTGGGGACACGGAAAAAACAAAAATAAAAACCCTGGGAAGGATGGGTAACAGGCTTGATGGCCCGCTGCAAAAGCAATTCATAAACTGCTTCTGACAGATGCTGGCTGGTCATGGGATCTCAAGGAGGAGGGAAGGAAACAGGTAAGGGGAGGTGGGGAAAGAAACTGGACAATGAATCCTTCTGACAGAACCTGAAGCATCCATTGATCACAGACAAAGGAATGCCAGCAATGAAGAAACTCAATCAGTCGAGCTCCCACTGGACCAGAACCCACTGGGTAGTCACCAGTACTAGTGGCGACAGAGAGTGCATACTCAAAGAAAGCCATGAGAAGAAGTACTCCAAGTAGAAGGGGCTGGGAAGGGGAAGGACGGGAAACAGTAATCAGAGTCTGAGAAAAACAGGCTACAATATTCACGAGGGTGGATTGTTGCTGGACTGATTTCACCTGGGGGTCTAGAGTTTCCGAGACTATATCAAAAACATAATGCCCCAGAAATGAGGCCATAAGTAAATACCCAAGACATGTTGAGGGTAAATGGACCCAAACCAATACAACATCACAATCTATAAGGTCCCATCAACAAAGAAACCATGTATGTAATGCCAGAGCTGAAGACAAAATGTGGGCTAAAGTGGAAATGAGAAGGGCAAGAGTATCTCTAGAAAATCCCTCAGGATTTCTGTAGAGAGCCTCAAATAGGAAACGTGTGGAAGAAAGATACCATAATAGATGTGTAAGGGTAAGATGCAAGTGAGAATACTGGGCATGGGTAAGACTGACAGATGAATCGGGAGCAGCCCCCCCAAATTGGCAATAAGGAACCTAACAACTGCTGGTCTAAAAATGGATAGTCAGCAAGATGGTAGGAAAGTGTGAACTTATCTGAAGTCAATGGGGTGTGCAGCATTCTAATCTCCTCACTTAATTGTGAAGCAAAGTGATCAGCATGATCCCAAACATCAGGTGAAGGAGGTAAAACAGAAAGGGTTGGGAAGATTGTTCATGCAGTAAGGAAGGACGAGGTGCATAAGAAATAGGAGAAAGGGATAAAACGACACAAACCTGAGATACAAAATCCATAAAAGACCATATTAGGCCTAGTAGATTCATCAAGTTAAGAAAGGGAAGAAAGGGTAAAATATGAAGGTGGAAAAAGATTATTGCAGTCCCCGTCAGAGTGCACAGGATCATCCTGTTCTGGAGGAGCCTGAGCAATGTATGGGGACAAAGGATGTCCCATGTAACGGTCGATTTTCTGGTGTATAAAAGCAGATAAATCCACCGTCGGGTTGCATACACCTGAGGCATGAGAAAAAATGCTAGTCGCTGTTGTAACCTCCGAAGTGGTAACGTTAACTTTGGAATTCATTGTGCAGAAAGGTTCACCAAATTCGAGTGCAGAAAATAAGGTGACTAGAATTGACTGATAAATACTAAGAGAAGAAACAGGCTGAATAAAAGCAAATTAATTTAAAAAACAACCACTTTGTGAGGAAACAAAGTCAAATGTGAAGCATTAAACAAATGTGTAGAAGAAGTCACATGAGCATGTCATGCTCCTATTGGTGAGAAGGTGATGCAAGATGATTTGCATAAGATTTGTTGGAATCTTGCAATTCTAATAGGGGAGAGCAGAACGCTTGTGGCACGCATAGCGAAAAAGTTCGCATATAGAGGGCAGCACTGAACGAGAATAGCTAATCTTGTGAGAGGAGGTAAGTACCATATCGGAATGTTCTTTTATCAAAGTTTATTAAAAATCATTTGCTTGTATCAATAAAGGTTTGTTTGAGGATAAACTGAAAACTGGTTTTTATAATCACTTCCTTTACTATTAGTTCTGATGATGCCACAATGGCAAAATGTGACTAAAATAAAAAGTTTCTTATATTATTATCTGGAGGGTAAAGGTTACTACCAACAAAAAATATCAACTGCATGACCAACATTCCCACCTTATGTATTTCATTTTAATTATAACACTTCACAGGTAACAGACTCTAAAATTTGTTTACCTTTTTGTGACAACTTCAAATCCAACTACTCTGAAATTAATGCTGTAAAAAATACAAAAATGTGATGAAACAATTGAAAAAATATCATGACAAAAAAAGTAGCTTTTAGATAATAGAGCGGGCCTCGACAAATATTTTCAGATCTAGGAGCCAGCCCAAAAACTGGAGACAGGTGTGTGCCTAACATAACTTCACTACTGTTTGTACTTGGAAATGGGGGCTACATATATTTATTTACTTTCATAGCAATGAGTGCTTGCTAACAAGTACATGATATCAACAACTACTTGATAGTATTGCCTGAACTAACTGCCTTTGGTCCCTCCCACTTGAGTCTAAGCAAGCACAATGACTGGTTGAATTAATAGAAGGAAGAAAAACAAAATGGTGTGAAGCTAGTAAGGTGTCGTGCAACCACCGAGCTTCATTCATGAAAAAAAAACACGATGAACTACTGAACTGAATCCACCAATAAAATCCTAGAAACAAAGTTTGACTTAGGACTCAAAGAATGTGAAAATAGTTCCGGACTTCCAAGAGTCCAGAATTGTTCTAGATTCAAGTTCTATTTAGCACAACCCTATGCACGAATAAAATGGGAGAAAATACTATGTGCCACGATGAAAGTTTTAGGCACCATGGCAACTTATTGTCCGGGATTTGTCGAGGCCCATAATGGAGAAATATATTGGATAAATTGATTTTATTGTAATCAAGAAATTAATAAAAGATTATCATTTTAAAAACACTGAGTTTGACTTTCAATCACAACTATTCTCAGAGACTTGTTTGTTTGTCTTTAGAATTTCACTAAAATTACACCAGGGTTATCTACTCAGTCATCTCTAGTTTCTAGAAACAAGATAAACTATCCTATCTACCCCCCCCCCACAAATACAGACTACCTAACATACATGTTCTAAGTTTTACTTCAAGTTCAACTCATTCTTAGAAATTTAAAAAAGGCAACAGTATCTTCAAAACTGTTGTTCCTGATGCAGTATGTTATACAGTCTTTCAAAAGTACATGTGTCGTATCTCCCTGTTAGACCTACATGTTATTTGATTTCTATTCACTGTAGGAATTTGCTAGGTGTTGGAATGTGTATATTCTGAAACATTCCACGAATATGTCATTATTGGTCACTTCTACAACTGTGTTGTTCAACAGAACAGCAAATAAAATGAAATATATAAACATATAGAAGTATTTTATGGTCTGTTTTTCATTTTTTTTGAAACAGTTTCACAATACAAATTTTTTAAATTTCACAACATAAAAAAGTGATAGTACAAGTAAATCAAACAATATGAATTTTTTAAAGTAAAACGATACTATTTAGTAAGTTTGTAAAATGTTTCATAGAATTTAGTTAAATATTTCCAGATTAAGTAAAGGATATAGACAAAATCCCTAGGGTCAAGAAAGGGTAATTAACTGCTAATCTGGTACTTCAAAATAATTCCTATTACCATTGTTCTACTCGTTTAATCAGTTTTGAGTCTATCATTGTTCTACACGTTTAATCAGACTTTGAGTCAATCATTGTTCAACACGTTTAATCAGTCTTTGAGTCAATCATTGTTCTACACGTTTAATCAGTCTTTGAGTCAATCATTGTTCTACATGTTTAATCAGTCTCTGAATCTATCATTGTTCTACATGTTTAATCAGTCTTTGAATCTATCATTGTTCTACATGTTTAATCAGTTTTTGAGTATATCATTGTTCTACATGTTTAATCAGTCTTTGAGTCTATCATTGTTCTACAGTTTAATCAGTCTTTGAGTCTATCATTGTTTTACATGTTTAATCAGTCTCTGAATCTATCATTGTTTTACAGTTTAATCAGTCTTTGAGTATATCATTGTTCTACAGTTTAATCAGTCTTTGAGTATATCATTGTTCTACACGTTTAATCAGTTTTTGAGTCTTCCACCTGAATCTGAGTTCATCCATTTTGTTCTTCTCCAAACATCAAAATAAGCTTATTCTTGACCCTACTGTGTTATATTTAAATCAGATAGACTTATCTTTCAACTGTTATTTAACTTGTTAAGTTCGATATGTTTTACCAATGTCATCTTTGCCATAGATATCCAATCAATCTGTTTATTTCCAAACTATCTTACCACTATTAATGACATTCTTTAGAGTTTCCCCAATGTTCTGCTACCTAGCCTGCTTTTACCTCTATTATACAATTCAACTTAACCCTGAAAACTATCCCACAGGATCAACAGTCCACCTGTTGTTCTGATAATCTTTCTTTTAAGCCTTGGACCCTGCTAAGTAGTCCCAACACTCTAAAATGGGTCACACATCTATTTCTATGCCTAAACTTTTGATAAGTCCTTATACGTTTTAAGCAATTGAAAGTGATAAAAAATATAACCAGTCACAGAATAAGGAAAGACTTACCCATCTTCAGTGTGATACTTGAGAATTAACTTCAAGTGGTTGTTAATATATGGCTTGAAGAAAAAAAGAGAGAATTAATTTTCAGAAAATTTAAAAACAAATAACCAGCAGTTAATCACCTTTTTTTTCTCTTTTTGTAACTAAATGTTACAGTAACCTTGGTAACATTTCTGCTACTTATACTAAATTTAAATAATCTCTATAAAAATTCTCATGTCAGCTTTAAAGATAGTGCAGAAAAATGATAATAAACAAAAAAACAAAACAAATTCAAACCCATTGCTCATCTGATCTTCTGTTACAACTCACACTAGCAACATGAATGTTTCTATCCTGAGTTTATGACAAGAACTATACAAATGAGAAAATGTGGTTATTAAAAAAACACTAGAACTTTTAGTCACTGACAGGGTTTGAGTACAAAGCTTTAAAGCTATTCATTGGATATCAGTTTTATTTATAAAATAGAGAAAAAATTCAAATTCATGTCAAACAGAATTCTGAATCTAACTTCATGACTAAACACCACTTGCCATACTTCAGTATGTCAGAGTTCACACTTACTGTTCCATCTTCAATGAACCCAAGTCTGTATCCATGTTCATACTGTGGCTGATTTGTATCCAACATCTCAAACCTGGTGGCACATGGTAGGTTGTCTACAATTCTAAATGATGAAAAATACATCTTTAAATACCATATTTCTGTGAGTAAGAAAATCCATCTTATGATCCAACAGTCAGGGTATGAAGAGTTTTGATAGCTACAATATTTAATGCTAGTTATCAGAAACTAGAATTCTGGTGAGTGTAGAACCTACTCATCGTTTGAGCAACTACTTGGAATTCAGAACGACATCATATATATATATATATATATAGGTATTAACATTCTGTTCAATGTAATATATAGACAACTTGTATTAATAAAGCTTAATGTTCCAGATAAAAACCTATCATATATGTATGTAATTAATACTCCAGGATACAGCTACAAACACAGTAAATAACATGATAACGGTTATTACTGAGTATTCAGTTTTTTCCAATCATCATCTTTAAACAAATAATCTAAATAGATAAACATCTATACTGACTGAGTACCTTTATGGGAGAAGAAAATTTTATATAAATTGTGGTTGAATGTCAAACATCTCTGGTAAGTATCCAGTTTAGTTAGCTACCAAACACTAGATTAGCATTTGTATGATACGAGTTTCTACTACAGGATAATAACAATATAATATTATTTAAACAAGACACATATTGTCTGTCAAATCACTTTCAAGGAGGGAAAATTTTGTCACACTAACTCACGGTGAAAAATAAAAAATATCCAGACTGCTGACATATTAAATGTCGCAGTACTGAAATGGAAGCCTGCTTGGAATCAGGATGTGATGGTCTAACAATTGATGAGATGGTGCCAGCAGTAACCAGTCATCCATAGAATCGTGTGTGCATAGTATCATGGAATAAAGGAGATGAGAAAACTCATGTGATACAGCAGAACCAATGTTAAGTCTTTGCAAGACTGAAGGAAAAACACCTGGAACAGTAGTACCTGACCCTTGTGCACTACAAATGCTGATAATGGTGGGACTCCACTGTTAAGGCAAAGTATAGATAGAAGCTGACCACAACCAAGTTGGATATCTACAATCCCAGTAAAAAATTAAACACAAATTGAGGAATGATTAACTTGTGAACCTTGGAGAATCTAGGCATTCATATAGACAAGGAAGATTGATGACTAGCCACCAACCTCCTGTCTTCATGGGCCCAACAACAAACAGAAATAGCCCAACTCTCTCACTACCCGCAGACCAATCCTAGAACTAAGTTCCAAAGCCCGATGAACAGTGGGAGATGGAAAACCTACAGGTTGGGTGGATTACAGTGGGGAAAATGTGAACTGAATGACCAATTGTGACCCAAGGACCTGCACAGCTTCTGAACTGATGAATTACCACACATCCAGAAATTCTTCGAACTGAGCCCCCACAGCTCCTGAAGGTATACAATAATCACCGACACTGCTGACAATCTGACTAAGTAGTGGAAACCTTAGATATAGACAGAATCTATTCTGAGTACCACTGTACCAAGGAGCTGATGTCGGGAATCAGTACTCACGAATAGGGGTGGAAATATGTCCCCCCCCCCCTGTAGGAGCCAAAAAAATTTGAGATTCCAACAACAACTAGGAGGAATGTAAAAGCCAAAACCTGAACTAACGTGCATGCTAACAATGAATTCAACTTGTTTATAATGAAACTGGTGATCCTGAGAGTCTTCTAACAAAGTGAAGTGAAAGGAAACAAAATGTTGAAGTTGAATTGTAAGTTCATTGACTTACTGTCCCATCAGGGGGGTACAGACCTATATAGATTAACTACAAACTCTGCCTTAGAACCCCAAAATTGAAGGAGCAGATATTATTTGAGAGTCAAGAAAAATGCCTCCACCTGGTGGTTGGAGGCAAAAGCACGAAATGACAACAACATGTCAGATAAGGTCTAACTGTCCTTTCAGGTAACTATGAAGGAAACCTTCCAGCCTGAACTACAATATCCATGTAAGGAGAAAAGGTGTGCTTCCAGACCTTTCAGCCATCAATTAAGTTGCAGGCTCAAAAGCAACTGGGAAAAAAACCCCTCAAAACATCACACACGAAGAATCAACAGAAGAAAAACAAATCAAAGGCAACTTATCCCAAAGTGGTTTCCATTTCATTTATCATAGGTCAGTTAAATACCACGGGGGCTCTGAGGCTGCGATTGAGGCCAATCCTCACCATTTTTGTGAGACTTTAGATTTGCTTTTTCCTATGTCCTTTTTTTTTTTTAGTCTGTTGGATGTTCAACCCCTCTATGGGTCAGTGGTAAATTTACGGACTCACAGTGCCGGTGTCTGGGGTTCAATTCCCTAGGGTGGACTCTAACAAAACAATTTGCTTCACCAAGGAGGACCACCACAGATTCAAATATATTGCCTCCAACTCACTACGAATAAGATCACTGAAATTCTCACCCGAGAGTGACCCCC